ATGTATAAATATCCCCATGAGATCACCATATATCGGATCAACACTTTGAAGGGCACCCCTAGAAAAATAATATCGCATTATTCTCTCTCTCTTTAATATTTTATCTCTTGTTTTCATCATCTCGCAAAAACAATGTTACAGTAGTATTGGCTTACCGTGCGGCCGTCGAGGCTGTGAAAACCAACATTGGCGCTGTCCGTGGGGACCGATACAAAAGGTCCCGTTTCTAAGCTTTTACTGATGGCATGTACGAGACGTAGAAATCGCAACACCGGTCCCAATGCCGTCGTCCTGCCGGTTAACGGGCATGTGGCAGTTGTAGCAAATCCATCGGAGCTGCCCGCCGACAGACGCGCTTCCGTTGGTGACCTAAAGGAGCAGCTAAATCGCCGCGCTTCTGGGGAGCAGTCCGCAGCCGCGCTTCCGTTGGTGACCTAAGGGAGCAGCTAAACCGTCGCGCTTCTGGGGAGCAGTCGGCTGCACGTACTGCGCGTACTGTCACCCCGACTCCCGCACCTTGAGGGGGGAACTCGCTAGCGCTTGCTGCTCAGGCCCATGCCAACTTCGCTGAATTGTTGGTGCAAGCCTTTGACGTGTACACGCGTGGGCGGGGTCAGGAATCCCCAAACGAGGTTCAGCAACCCGCACGATCAGTTCCCACGGAGAGCCCTCAGGCAGTGTCCGAACATTCAGAGCACTCGGGGGGCATTCCACCCGTCGACAAGCAAGCCAACCGCTCGTCGCACTCCTGATTGGGACCCGCAGCCCTAGCGCAGTCGATCCTGGAGCGCTTGGGTGAGCGGGCCCGGCAACACCTCCCCGCCCGGCTAGCTAGAGAGCAGCCGTGAGCCATTATCCAAAGGAGGTTGGCTGCACGACAAAGGCGAGAAGCTACGGAAGGCATGAGGGAGTCATCATTTCTACTCGACCAAGGTAACCCCGAGATGGCCGGTCTATTCGCTGCTGTGCAGGAGTTGCAGCAGATGGTTGAAGGGAGAGACAGGCTGGTCGCTGACAGTCTCCTAACCGCCTCGCCCTTCTCAGCACAAGTAGTGCAGGCTTACAGGGCACCGACCGGGTTCAAGCTGCCCGACCATCCCACTTATGACGACACGGGGGATCCGCGCGACCACGTCATCAGCTTCCAGGCCAAGATGCAGGTAATCGGGGCTAATGCCCCGATGATCTGCCCGGTGTTCTTCCCGAGCGGATAATTCCCGCGAGGGGCGAGCAGTGGAGGAAGACGACACTCGTGTGAGAGCTCGTCGAGTCATGGATCGACTAGGAGCTCCTGCCCCCCAGTCGATGGCACAGCCCGTCCACGAAGTCCGCACCCCGTTACCTCTGCCCCCGCCTATCCGTCCTCGCGATAGGCCCCAAGTGGTCGGCACAAATCCCCAGCCTTACTGCCGATACCATCGCACGAACACCCACTCCACGGAGGAATTAATTCTTGATACTAATTTTCCTTTTGGTTTATTTTTGAATTTAATTTATTGTCTTCTACTTTATTTCTACAAATTTAATAAGAGCGAATAATGTTAGGCCCTTAACTGGAACAAAAAAATGTCGGTACTAATTGTTTCTTAAAATGAATGTTCATATTATTTTGATTTTAGTATCTTTTAATGATTTTCCTTATTTACCCTCTATTATATTATTTTATTCCCTTAAATAACCCTAAATTCCGTTAGTTTAAACTTTAGTAACGGAATATTCCGTTAACTATTTATTATTCTTAACATACTCTTAATTTATATAAGGTCTTAGGTTCGAACCTCATCCCAAGTATAGTTGGCATAATTGTTAAACATATATTATGAATATGTTAAAATGTATTAAAAATATATATATAATATAAAATTTAACATAAACTTTGGTCAAATAATTAGATCGACTAAATACATAGCATTCAAAGTTGAGTATCAAAGATTATAAATCAGGAACTACTTTAAAATTTTTTGATTTGCTTGAATTTTTATTAAAAAAAAAAAGAAATTTAGGTTAAGTTTTTTTTTTTACTTAATATTCTTCTGATTATTTAGAACAAAACTTAATATTTCAATTATGCTTTTGCATTATTGGAATGATTTAAGTCATTATGGTATTAATATTTTTTGTATTTTTTTTTATAATGGTACAATTGTACATTACTTGACAAACATTATACTATTATTTTTTTATCAGACAAAATTGTTCTTACATCATTGTCAGACCTGCACGGCCTAACTACAAAGTTGTTGATCATAAATACAATTACACATGGACTCTAAAACGGTAGGATCATTTTTCAAATAATTGACAATGTTAACATCCTACTAGCTCCAATTGAACAAGTTTACACATCAAAATTTTATCAATGCATGAAAACTTGTAAAGAAATTTGTAAGTTAATTTTTACTATATCATTATATTAATATCTATTGTAACCATATATTTTGAATTATTTATTATCATCCTCTATTGACAGCAATGGTAACAATTGTCATGGACAAACTCTCAAAACAATTTGTCTAAACAAGGAATGGAAATTAAAAAAAAAATCATTGATTTCATTATTGTTGAAGAAAAGTATGTACGACACTTTATTACTCTTATTAATTAAATAAATTAGTAGCTACAACAAAAAATAATACATATGCATTTAATTAATTTAGAATTAGATGTCTATAATGCTTTATTTATTAAAAAAAAATTATTCATTATAAAAAAACTTAAAAAAAATATAATTTCATTAGTTATATTATATTTATTTTCTACAATTCAAAGATTCCTTATTTTCAAATTTATTAATTTATTATATTCACTACATTGTTCATTGTTTTCTATTTTACATTATCTTGTAATTAAATATCAAAGTTATAATACAAAACATGTTATAAATAAATAAATAAATAAATAAATAAATATATATATATATATATATATATATATATATATATATATATATATATATATATATATATATATATACTTATTTATTTATTTATTTACCAAGTATTTTATACAAATATAATAAATATTAATATTTTGTTCAATACTTTCACATGATAACCTACGACACACATCTCACAACACATGAAACATCTAGGGAAAAAAACTACCACTACTAAGTGTTTGTACGCTAAAGAGTTCATATTACAACTAAAATCTTAGTCATACAGCAAGGCAAATCTAAAGCTTCCTACACCATAATCTCATTGCATGATGAATCTCTCTATGCTGCTACCGCCTACCAGTAACCTAATTGCACATGACACACTACCAATAAAAAAAGAACATGTATTGAAGATGAAAACAATAACAATGCTACCCAAGAGAGAATTAAGAAGAATTAGAGAAATTTAAACCAAAAGTAGTATTTATTTAGACTATCGTTTTAAGACTAAGTATTTAAACTAGCGTTATTACAAAGTTGCAAACATTTATTTTAGTGATAATTATAATCAATCTCTCATATATTACCTTGCATTTATATACTTTAAATTACTGATTTAAATAAACAAATTCAACATTTATTTAGCTATGCACGAACATCTTCTATATAATATTGCATTGATATACTTTGAAATACTTATTTAAAAATAATTATTAGGCATTATCTCATTCGCGCAAAGCACGTAAAAAAACTAGTCTATTTTAATAAAAGTCATTCATTTGTTTAGTGAAACTTTACCTAAGAAATACTTCCTCTGTCTCATTTTACCTGTCATGTTTACTATTTATTGATCAAACAAACTTTGTCTTCTTTGCTTATTTTCTTAAGTATTTTTAAATTAGTTTAATTTTTTTTTTTTGTATTTAATAGTACTTTAATTTTAATGTAGTTTCTAAGTATATAAATTTTATATACTAATACTAAATTTAATATTGTGAAAAATTGATTTAAAAATAACTTCACTCAAGTATTGTTAACTGAATCAGACACATAAATGAGACGAAGGAAGTAGTCTTAACTGAAAACTCCTCATGGGGTCGACCTGAACATGCCCTGTCTATAGGTTAGTTTAGTTTTATTATTTGGTGTTAAAACAACTCGCATCATCAGCGGTCTGTAGTGGTGGTGTTGCCTGCTTGTTAGCGAAGGCAACCCGCCCTTCCCTCTCCTGCTCGTACAGGTCCAACATTCGGGACATCACCTTTGCCATGGTCCGGACAATTGGCTGAGGAGGTATTGATTGGCCCGGCCTCAACCACATTCCCTCCATTAGGCAGCTGGGCAGCTCGGTGCCTAGGTTCTATAGTATGAAAACCATTTATTGATTTCTCCTTGTTATGGCCATGAGTTTTGAGAGTTTCACTGGTGAGGTTTTGTTCAGATTTTAGTACGAAGCGGACAAAAGTTTTTATATTGTCCCCATGGACGATATAAATGTTGTAGTCACTAGTCAGTCAGTAAAATCAACACAATCGAAAACCGTAACAGTAAAGAAAACCAGTGTACTGTATTGAAAGTGCGATTGTTCAACCCCTTACACGGTGTTCCTCTGCTTCTATTTATACATTGATAATTAAGGAAATACAATCCGCCCCTAATCTGTCCACAAATTCGGCCATAATTCCCTGCACACACAAGAATGAAAACCATTTCTTAATCACAATCCCCTTTATCATTATCAATAAAAGCAACAAGGCTCTTCTAAAGTATCAAAGGTTCTACAATCTCATAAAAATTTAAACCATCATCAATTTTCAAAAGTTGTACTATTTCATTCCAAATTTTGTATGCTTCCCTATCTGATTCGATCTTATTGTCAGATATGCAACTAAAATTCTGATTTGGTAGTTCATGAATCTTGCTAACAAATTTTCAAGTTTCTCATTTTCTTAGTCTCATTACACTTACACTTCAATTTGAACTAAAAAAACTACAAGGAAGTGTCTATACTAGCACATACGCTTAGATATAAACATAATTTAACATAATTGGATACAAATTTAATTACGAAAAACTTAACATCATAGTAATAGAAGCAATATTAGAGATTGAAATACCTTTCCTGAGGATCATCATGGAGACTTAGCCTCTGTTCAAAAGATGCTCTCTCTCAATCTGGAGAGCGAGTTTAGCTTCCTTCAGCTCTAAAACTCTGGTTTCAAGAGATGTTATTTCTTCTTTCAGACGGTTTTCTTTATTCATAATTTCAGAATAACTAGTTGCTATGTTGGACTTTTGAAATTGATTTTTAAGCTCCTTTATTCGCTCTTGAAGAAAACCAACCTCCATACCCAAGTACTTAAAGCCTTGCAATCTTTTGTCCCATAGTTCGAGTTTAGTCTGAAAGGTGGAAAGACAGGAAGCTCGGATTTCATCTGCAATGCTAACTGTTCCTAAAATGATTCCAGCAGCCAACTGTAAGTTAATGCTCCCAATAAGTCTATTATGTAGACATGATTTCCGGGCATGACATAAATTGTAGTATTTCACACGGTTTGAGTAGGAGATTTCTGAATCTAAAACGCCCCCGTTTACTCTAATGTTGAAATTCTTCATGTCAAATCCAGAGAACATCCAATTCAACCCACTCTCAGAACTGGACCCTTCACCCTCTAAAACATGATTTACTGGAAGACCCTGCAGTATAAAGAAATAATTGAGATATGTAAAATCTATATTTATTGCAAGTATCAACCAAATACTTAGTGTAACCTACATATAATTGAGGATTAAAATAAAAATTCTACAATAGCTCATCAAGGACAAAAAATGTTTGTTAGCCTGATAAAAAACATTACTGCACTTACTTGTCTAACATGACTGGCTTTCTCCAGTGAAGAGAAAGCTGCAGATTTCTTAAATCTTTTCTTTATTGTTCGCTTTGATCGCTTCCTGTGTTACATATAACAAAAGTTAGGAAATACTACTAAAAGTCTCCAAATTCTCCCTACTGATATTGTTCTTATGAAATCCATTGAAGTATCACTAACCTTCTGGGGTGTGTGACACGGCCTAGAAGATTTACCTGCACAAATTAAAGGAATATAATATAATGAAAGCTACTTATTAATGGCGGCCTTCAATTCATAGCTCACTATTGAAAATTATGAAATTTCCGACCACCTGAAAGTTATCTTAAATCAAATGAAAGTAAAAAGTGGTCGGAGATAGCAATAAAGGTTTTTCCGAATACCAAAAGTGATCGGAACAAGACTTTCCACTTGATTAAATCACTTTCAGGTGGTCGGAAATTCCATAATTTTCAGCAGTGGCTCTAGTATCAGTAATGGCAACAAAGATCTCAGAAAATGTGAAACCCAGGGAAGAGGGAGAACACACTGACCAGAGAGGGAGAAGCAGAGGGGCGTTTTCGATCTTTGTTCATGAACAAGAAGGACAGTGTGAGTTGGTCTTCTTCGTCCTCTTCTTCTTCTGGATTTTGTTGACATTGTTCTTTCCTCATAACTTTTTCATGCATCAAAGGCTCCATGGAACTCTGCCCAGTCCTCATAGCATGACCCATGGTTCTAAAATGGAAAAGTAAAATAAGAAAAGTTAAATTTGCAGTGTGAACCAACCATCATGATGTTTATCAAGCTGTGATTAGCAGTGTGATAACACAATTTTGTTAGTCCATTGCTTAGAGTTTTGATCATATGTAGGAATGTTCAAATTGAGTTTTACACTTTAATTATGCCCTCATTGCACTCTAGCATAAGTTTGGTTACTTGAAGCCAATCTCTCTATATCTTCCAAAACTATTATAATTGTGAATATAGAGTTCAAAAATTATGAACATAGAGTTCTGTAATTATGAATATAGAGTTCAATAATTGTGAATATGAAGTTTAAAAATTATGAACATAGAGTTCTGTAATTGTGAATATAGAGTTCAATAATTATGAATATGAAGTTCAAAAATTATGAACATAAAGTTCAGTAATTATGAACATAGAACTGTTTCCACCTTGCAAGGTTGACACGCTTCCACGGCATAACAATTGATATCTTAGAGACTAGGCTTTTAAAACTCAACTAAACTAACCACCATCAAGTTGTCAGTATGTAGAGGAAAACTCAAGTTTTGGGGCACATATTTATCATGGTGGACTTTCTTATTGCAAATTACTCATTACTCTACGAGCCTGTTAGGAATTATTTGTAATACATTTTGCTGATGTAAAGTGAATTGTACAAGTTTTTTAGACTCCTCCCAAATCTTTGTAATTTTAGAAAGGCTTTGCATTCTAGTTGATCATAAGGAAGCAGTCTTGTAAGTAAGCATCCAGAAGGAAAGAGTTCAGAAGGAAAGTATTCGGAAGGAGTTAAATTGGAAGAAAATGAAGGGGAATGGAAGGAAAGACATTCAAGCAAGGTGTTCATGGATGATAAAATGGCATTCACTATTGTATTACTAGAGTAAATATGGATGTTGCAAAAAGTTTATGAGCAAAAAAGTTATATGAAATAAATATAATTAAAAATAAAATATCAACCTCATATTGTCAACCAGAAGATATATCATCACTATTCTAGTCTGGAATGTGGAGGGCCATAGGGTTAGGGATTCAATCTTTTGGGATAAGACTATTCTAGTCTTATCTTATAATTTAGTGGTATATATCCCTATTGATTACTCTTTTAATTTATCAGAAAATACATAGGACATGACTAGGCTAATATCAAAAGATATAAAATGTAGAAGACATATTGAGGGATGTAAAATTAGGAGACTTATTAGAAGATATAAAACTCAGAAGACATTAGAATATATAAAATTAGAAGACATCAAAAGGTATAGAACCATCTCTTTTAATTTAAAAAATCATGTCTATTGAAAAACCATATCTTTTGAAAAAAAAAAAAAAACTCTTACAAAAACCACATCTTCATTCTAATAAAAAACTCAAAAGAATAACTCTTTCAGAATACAAATAAGAATATCAATATTCTGAATTAATTAAATTTCTACCAAATTTAAAATAACATTTACAATTCCGTAATATAAAAAATATTATTTAAACTTCCCGTAAGCCTGTATGAATACTTTCAATTAATTATTTATTATATAATCTCCAACAATTAATGATTTTCACCATAAGGAAAGGAATGTATAGCATAATGGGAAAAAAGCAACAACATTGTAGAGAAAGTAAAATTTAGTACATATAACAACAGTCAAGATCTTGTGGTCCAATGACACCAAAGTTGTACTTCCATATGAGAGGTTATGGGTTCGAGCCGAGGCGACATACAGTGTAATAAAGTCTGTAGCAAAAACAACATAGATGTAGAGAAAGAAGAAATGAGGTACCTAACTAGTTATCTCAATCAAGGTTGCAAAAATTCACAAAAATCGCTAGGCGTTCCTTAGTAATTATAAACTATTTAATACTTTAATAGTCAGTACTAAATTAAATATTAAATTATAACCTAAAAAACATCTAGAATTGTAAAGTGTATAAAAATTTAAAGAATCAAAACACAACACAAAGTCACAACTCACAAAGTATTAATATTAGAGTACATTAAATTTTTTTTTTTATAACATTTTTTGGATTTACGACCGATTTGAACAATTTAGGGTTATTTCACTAAAAACAACATCAGTTTGAGCGAAATAACCCTTTTAAAAAAAGACACAAAAAATAGCTAACCGGCAGCCTAAACGCCCGCCTAGGCCGCCTAGATGACCGCCTAGACTGCTTAGTCCGCCGCGACCTAGTCAGCACCTAGGCGACAGGCCACCTAGAACAGAGATTCTGCCAAAATTCTATGCGCGATTTTTGTAACATTGATCTCAATATTACACCATGGGTGAATTAGATTAGAAGGGCGATAGAGAAGTACCTGATTTCACTAATCGGGTAAACTATTCAAGCCGATCTAAGATTTATGTGTAATTGGAAAACTAATCGGAGCAATAGAGGAGTGATTGGAGCAACCGGAAAAGTGATCGGAGCAAATCTAAGATTTATATAATTGTTATTTTTAGAGAGACAAAGAGAGAATGCGTGTCTATGTGTGAGATACAAAATGAGAGGTAGAGAAATGAGAATCCAGTGTGTATGTGTGCATGTGTGTGTATGGGATGAAAGAGAAGTACCTGTTTCCACAAATTGGGTAAGCTATCCAAATCGATTTAAGATTAATGAGCAATCGGAAAACTGATCGGAGCAACGGAGCAGTGATTGGAGCAATCGGAAGAGTGATCGAAGAAAATCCACGATTTATATATTTCCCATTTTGAGAGAGAGAGAGAGACAGAGGGAGAGAGGGAGAGAGAGATAAAAAACGCACGTCGATGTGTGTAGAGAAATGGGAATCAATCATGCGTGTGTGTGTATTTATTTATATAGCAATATCTATATTTACGGGGGTTCAAATGAAAACACGGTCTTTTTGTAAAAAATGAAGACTAATCTTAGCCGTCAATCAGGGTTCATAAATGCTTGAAACTTTTAGTAAAAAAAACACACGGGGTCAAATTTATAATTATTGAAACCTTTAAGTGCGGGGTTTACACACACACACACATATGTGTGTGTGTGTGTGTGTGTGTGTGTGTGTGTATATATATATATATATATATATATATATATATATATATATATATATATATATATATATATATATTGGATTCAGTGAGGTCATATGAGGTTGGTGAGATTGTGAGATTCGATCTTGAGCATCCATTTTTATATTTTAACGGTTCTGATTTATAGGGTGATTTTGTTTTAATTGTCTGCCATGTAATATAATTGACGGTAGGCATGTAATTTCCAATATGCATTTATTTCTTTCCGTTTTAATATTGATTCGGCAGTGGTATTTTCTTTATGCGCGTGGGTTAATTCGAATCCCTACTCTCCGTCCACTCAGTTGATACAATACTCTCATTCCTCCACCTCTGTCCCATATTCTCGAATCCCTATTCGCCGGAGGTGGGGGGTGGGGGGGGGGGGAGAGAATGTCGCTGCCATTCGTTGGATCTGCTTCACCGGATAACAGGGGATGCCACAGGTCGCCTGATCCGTTCAGCTGCTGCCCATCCGGTGTTCTGCTCGCCGGATTCGCCACCAGGGGTCGTCACTGCTGCAACACGCCACCACTGACTAGTCACCGTTGTTGCCTACCACCATTGCTTCTGGATCGTGAAGGAGAGATATGGAGCTCTATCGCTGCACTTGCCATCGCCGAGCTGAGTTCGCCAAGAATTGTTACGCCGGAGAAGAGCTGTTATAATAATATTATTATTATAATTGTTAAACCAAGTAATTAATAATAAGTTAGTTTGTTAATTAGAAAGCATTGAAGTGTGGTAGTGCGTATGCAAAACGTGGAGTATGCATTGCATTTTATGGAGCATTAATTACCTAAATTGTAGAATGTTATAATAATAATATTATTATAATTATTATTAAACCAAGTAAATGGGAATAAGGAGAAGTTAGTGGAGTTGTGTAATGGGAATGTGGCAGCATTACATGAAAGCTATGTGGTACATGGGGAGCTTTACTTCCCTAAATTTATGCTTTGTTAGTTTTGTTGTTTAGTATAAATAGTCTTTGTATTCAAGCATTTTAAATCATCAATTAAATCACTTATCTATTCCCCTCTCTCTCTCTCTTCTCAATATATATAAATATAATATATAGATATATTATATTTAATATATATATTATAGATATATTATATTATATTTAATATATAATATATTAAATATATTATATTTAATATATCTTACATTTGGTATCAAAGCCAGTCAACCTTTCAACCCCGAGATATTGTTCGTAGTGAAATATGGCTACAAATTTCAATATTGTATGGTCGGGTCCCAAATTGGACGCGAAACTCGATTACAATTATTGGCAAATTATGATGTCCACACATTTGCAAGCTCAAAATCTTTGGAGCTTTGTTGATCCCGGTCTACCCGAAGGAGCTGATGCAGCCGCTATACGGCGAGATAAATTGGCCTTGGGTCAGATTCACCAAGGTGTTCATTATTCCATTTTTGGGCAATTAGCTCGTGCTCAAACATCAAAACAAGCTTGGGACATCTTAAAGGTGTCACGCAAAGGAGTTGATCGGGCGCAGAAGTCTAAGTTGCAGTCGTTGAGAAGGTTGTACGATAATTGTGAGATGACCTCTACAGAAACAGTAGATATGTATTTCACTCGTCTTATTGATATGGTGAATAAGATGAGGTTATACGGAGATACAATTGAAGATGGTGCAGTGGTTGAAAAAGTTCTTCGAACTATGCCGATGAAGTATGACCATGTGGTGGCTTCAATAACAGAGTCACACAAAACCGAGCTCTTATCAATTGCAGAGCTGAAAGGTATGGTAGAAAGTCATATTGACAGAATTGCGTCAAAATCGAAACCACTAGCTGAAGAAGCTTTGAAGAGTCAAGTCACCCTTAATGTGACTGGCACTAATCAAAGAGGTGGAGGATCTGGTAGAGGTCGTGGAAGAGGAAGAGCAGGATCTAGTGGCAGAGGCCGTGGTAACTTC